TTTTTTTTTTTTTTTTCCCCCCTAATAAACTCCATAATCTGTGTGTGGCCAGTGCAGTGAATTATTGAACCCAGCAGAGAAGTGTTGGGTGCCACAGGAGGGACGGTTGGTGTCAAGGTTAGTAAGAGGGCTGGAGGATGGCAGTATGTCTGGCCTTATAAGAACAGGCATGGGCTCTAATGGTGATTCTGTCTTCCTCTTGTGGATTAGAGGAGGCCAAAAGATGCAACCGCCTTGTCCTTTTATCAGTAACAGTGATGTGTGAACACAGCTCATAAATGGTAGAGCCAGAACCTGAACCTGGATCTCGACCCTAAAGTCCTTGCTTGTAACCACAACACTATCTATCTTGCTAGTGGGAGTAGGAAAGGCAGATGCAGCAGGCAGACCTTGAGTGGGAAGAATCTACAGATGTGTCAAGCAACTGGATGTTAGGTGTATGGAAGAAAAATGGAGACATCAAGATGACCCCCAAATTTTTAGCCTGAGTAACTTGGAAGATGAGAGTATCATTAATAAAAGTAAGAAATATGGAAAGAAAATTAGGAGGTTTTTGGGGATTAATCTGCTTTCAATCTTTAGTGCATGTATCTGCAGGCTAGTGGGCAGTCAGCAATGCAGGACTGCTACTTGAGATGGGAGAAAATGGTTAGAGATTTGAAATTCATTTCCACATGCATGAGGATGATAGTTGAAGCCATGAGAGTAAGGGATATCATCATGGATGAAAACGTAGCACCAATGTTGTCACCCTCAAGAATCCCCAGAGGTACCAAAGAGATGAGAGGAGCAAGGGGAAAAGTGATCAAAAGTGACTTTCAAAAGACAGAGAAAAGCCATTGAGTAGAGAAAAAGTAGACAGTGGTAGGAGATAAACACAAGGTCCCTTTGACCTGATACAACCTAAAAAGATTCTTCATGGGTCCAGGGTGAGGACAAGGGGTGTGATGTGCCCACTTTGGGTTACAGCAGTTAAGGACTGTAATGGATTGAATTGTGTCCCCCCAAAATGTGTTGAAATCCTATCCTCTGCACCTGTGGATATGACCCTGGTTAGAAATAGGGTTTTTCTTTTGACATGTTTAGTGAGGTCTTATTAGAGTAGGGTGGATCCTAAGCCAAACCACTTTTGAATTATTAAAAAGGCAGAAGAAACATAGCAACAGACATAGGGGGAGGACAGACACTGAGGAATGCCAAGGAACTCCAAGGACTATTGGGTACTAGAAGCTGAAATAAGGAGCCCCGATGGTGCAACAGGAATCTTGATGGTATACTGGTTAAAACTCTTGGCTGATAAGATCTGAAGGATCAGAGGTTTTAATCCATCAATTACTCTGTGGGAGAAAAAATCTGGCAGTCTTCTTCCATAAAGATTATAGCCTTGGAAATCCTATAGGGCAGTTCTACTCTGTCCTACAGGGTCATCATGAGTAAGAATAAACTCAAGAGCAGGGAGATTTTTCTTTATTTTGGTGATGGAATGGTTAAGCACTTAGCTGCTAACTAAAATGTTGAAGTTTCAAACCCACCAGTCACTCCATGGGAGAAAGATGTGAGTATGCTTCCGTAAAGACTGTTTTTGTTGTTGTTACTATGTGCCGTCGAGTCGGACCCGACTCATAGCGACCCCTCCTTGGGTTTCTGAGGCTGTATCACTACGGAAGCATATTGCCCAACCTTACTTCCGAGGAGTGGCTGGTGGGTTTGAACCGCCAGCCTTCTGGTTAGAGGTCAAGTGCCTTAAGCACTACACTACCAGAGCTCCCTCCATAAAGATTGCTCCCTTGGAAACCCTTTGGGGC